GGGGATAGTGGTGCTCACTGAGAGTTATCTAGATTTATAATGTAAAATATGCACAATTTTCTGTACATTTTTTTGTTGGTATTTGATAAAGTGGGATACTATCCAAGTTTCACATGATGGGTAAACCAATAAAAATTGTTTTTTTACTAAAGTTGTTTTGATATTTTATTAGAAGAGATTCTGATTTTGAAACTTTAAAAATCTCACAGCTTTCCAATTGATGGCTAGAGTTTCCAACTTCAACATGGTAGCATATATAAAAATATGCCGCTGACCTTAGACCACATATACAAGTGCTCTAAATGCAGGCTATATGTTATTCTTGTCGTAAAAAGACTAATGAATAACAAGACATCTTCACGTCTGCTGTTTTTGTACCAAGTAGAAATGAGCGAAAATTGTTTACCTGAAAAACAATACAGTTCAATTTATACGTGGTTTCTAGACAAGTAAATTAATTTGATCCTGAAATAATAAGATGATTGAAGAAATATATAACACTTAGCCTTGATAGGAATAAGAAATAACATAAATAAAGATTCTGGTAATGAAGCATTCGGGCGCAAGTCTAGGGATGTACAAAGGAAACCGACAAATCGCACTAACCCAATAATCCGAGTCAAACCGAGAAAAAAAACCCCGACTATGGGTTGGTTTGATTTGGTTTGGTGTTGGAAAAAAACCCCGACCATAATTGATTTGGTTTGGTTTTAACTAAAGAAAGTCAAACCGAAACCAAACCAACCCGATATTACATATATAGAAATTTTTGATATATTCAATATATAATTATACTTATTGTGATGTAATTTATAAATATTTCTTAAAAGATTTCATAATTTTATTTTTTGAGGTATTATTTCAAGGTTAGACTTAGAACTTTTGAATGTTCCAATAAGTTTTATAGCCATTAACATTAATAAATTAAATAGTGCTAACAAAAGCCCAAACCAAAATCAAATCAATACTAATGTTAACAAAAGACATTTAATTCAATACTACGAACGAGAATGTATTTAATATCTATATTTTGTTTTGCAATAATTTAGATAAAATGTATAACCTATTTTTATTTTTTCTTTTGCGTTTAGTCATGTATTTAATACTCCCTTATTAGTCTACTTATTTTAGCATGACTTAGTACTCTTAGATTATGTTTATTTTTATTATGGCTTTTTAATTAGCAATATTTATATTACATAATTTTATTGTTGAATATTTTAGGATAATGCCATGACATATCTCATATTTTGTATTATTTTCTTGGAAAATACTTTATATAGTTGTATCTTACTAGGACTAAAGAAATATTAAGAGCATAATTGATATGTTTTGTTCTACGAAGATTTTACCGGAAAAAAGCTCGAAAAAACCCGAATAACCCGAAAATCCGAGAAAACCCGAGAAAAACTGAGAGTGAAAAACCCGAATTTTATTGGTTTGGTTTGGTCTTTAGATTTAATAATCCGACACAATTGGTTTGGTTTGGTAATTGTAAAATCCGAACCAACCCGACCTATGTACACCCCTAGGCGCAACAGTGATAAGAACAGAAAATAAGAAGATAAAATTGTATAGAGCTTTTTGTAGATTGTAGTCTTAGTTTGCCAGAAAATTCCTCTTTTTACAATGATAACAGAGCTTACTATTTATATCTAGGTCTAGGGAAAGAAGTCCTAGGATCGTGCCTTTTAATGCCAAGTATGAGGGTCATTGATAAAAATGTAACAGTGAATATAAATGTCAAATTTCTTGTAACGGGCAGCATACTTAATGCTGTGGAATATTCTCCATTGAATGCTACCAAGCGAAGAGTAATTGTTGCATCCTTATGAGTGTCATTCCTTCCGGTATCAAAAGGGATAATTGCCCTCGATTCCACGTGTCATTATTTTAAGCAGCCACCTGGCATAACATATTTTACCCTATACAGATAGTCCCCCTGCTTTTCGGTGACATCGCTTTGTGTTACCGGAAAGTTGGTATAAATACTCTTTCGGCGGGAATTGCTATGATTCCTTCTGAAGGCTTCTAAAGGTTGATTAGACGCACGTCTCTCCGTATTTAATGCCCCGAACACGCGTTATGCAACGATTCAACATAACTTTTGCCGGTTATCGAGGTAATCATGGTCATGAATTTAGCTGCTAAAATTTTTGCTTATACGCATCAACCTTCTCCCTTTATACTTCATAATTTTCCAAACTTTGTAAAATATTTCTTGCTATTACTCAACCTTTCTGCAACTCTCTTCAAACGAGAAAGCTTTCCTTCTTTCATAACATACAATGGCTTCATCTTCAAAAAATACCAGTTCTTCAAAGAACAAAAATAAAGTCGAGGATGCTGCTCCTCCAACGGTTAGACTCTATCATTCCTAGAAGTCTTGTTACATCAAAAGATTTCGAAGAGAAATTCCCTTCGGCTCTCTCTCGCACATGGGTTGTTGGCAGATACTCTTCTTCTATCCGCCCTTCAAATATTTCTGTTGTGAAGGAAGATTGTCGTTGTCCCAATTTCGATATTGTTGCTCCTGATCTAACAGAGTGAGTAACCCTACCTAGGGAGGGTTTGACATATTTTTGCACGTATCCCTTTACTTTGGGTGTGTTATTTTTGGGCGGAGAACTTGACTCCATTATTGCGGAGTTCTACCTCCGCTAGCAAGTATGTTTGGCACAAACAAGTACTTCTGTTTGGAGGATGATTGCATGTCTTCGGCGTTTGTGCCAAGAAACGGGACATGAGCTATCTTTAGCTAATGTGATGAATCTCTATTCCCCCAAATCTTTCAAGGGGGAATGATAAACTTCAGCAAATGCGGCCATCATGCTTTATTATCTAGCATGATGACAATGACCGCGTGTAGAAGGAATGACTCGTTACATTTGCCACCAATAATATCATTCTGGAAGCGACTTCATATTTTTCGGCATCATGGAACTGCACTCGTAAGTTCCTTGTTTAATATTTCATATTCCTTTTATCAGGGATTCTTCCATATCTGCACTAATCCTTCATCCTTCGATCGTTTCAACAACTCGATGGGTTCTACCTATGGTTGAAGGCTTGGACTAGTGGGTCCAGAAAATCTTGGACGTCACTGCGCTTGAAACCCATACGTAGAAAGAACTGACCCTCAAATAGGGGTGAAAGTCTAAAAATCATGGTAACTTGGACTCACCTTGTTTCCGCTTTTTATGCAAGGAAAATTGATTGGTCCCTTCTATCTTTTCTCTGGAAACAGGTCTACCCGCGGACTCAGTTGTCATCCTCGAGCAAGATGTTTTGGCTGACCCTGTTGATGCGGCGAGGCTGCTTCAAGAGGCGCTCACTCGAATAGGTATCTCCAGGCCTGCTTCGGGTACTAGTGTTTTGTTACGGAGTCCCCGGCCGGAGAACAAACAACCAAAAAGAAGGCGTTCTTCCGCGGCCAGGGAAAATAATAAGAGGGTGAAGACTATTGTCCCCAAGTCATCTCCAAAAGTTGTGATGACTAGCCCTTCTCCTGGGCGGGTCATAGACACCATGATGGTTGACGATGATGGAGAAGCTAGTAAAGAGGGAGCTTATCTACAAAGAAGGCGACGATCCTCATCAACTCAACAAAATGCTCAATCTGTTGAGTTAGTTACACCAACCAAGGATGATGTCTCGGCACTTTGGGGGGAGTTTGATTTGGTAGAAAATGCCAACTCCCGTTTTTGGACCCCAGATGTTGTTCACGGTACTGCTGGATTGAGTACTGAGTCCTTGCCATCTTCGGTTGGCAAGCATCCAACAACTAGCGCTGCATTTGACGTGGCTGCTTCTTGTCCTTCATCGCCATCAACTTCTTCTTCCCCAGCAATTCCATCAACAACTACTACATCATCTCCACCGGTCGCACCTAACCATGAAGAAGATGTTCCTCTTCCCCAGTCCCCAGTTTATGGGAATTTGGGGCAAAATTATGCTGTCCTTTCTAAAGATCCATAAAGGAGGGGGAATGTTACTCTTTCCGTCTCTGCCGAATGCAACTTTCTATCTTGAACGGTAGAACTTGCTAATTACCTTAAGCCTTTGGCTTGAGAGAAAGATTGGGAAAAGATTCAGGCACTCTCGGGAGAGTGTTTGTTGAACAATTCCATGTACAACGCTACATCGGTACATTCCTTTCTTCCTTTTCTATTTCTTCTATTTTTGCCTAAACATATCTTGAGTTTTGCCTTTCTTGCTTTGTAGGGAAACTTTCTTGCTTCCAAGGGCCTTCAGAAGTTGATTCACTAGAGGGAAGAAGTTACCTCCGCACAGGATCCACTTTTGGTTGAACGGGATCAAGCCGTTATTCGCCTTTTGGAATTGGAAAACAAAAATGTTGAGGTTGTTCTATTGAAGGCTCGTTTACAGAAAAGTGAGCAAGAGGTGGAAACCCTTATCCAAGAGATCGCCCTGTTGAGGGTTCAGTTTGAAGAAGTTAAGGCTAAATAGGTTGAAGTGCAAAATGCCATTCTTGATGCATCCGATCGCGAGGCCGCCTTTGCTGAAAGATTGATCAACTTAGAGGAAGCCTTGAATTCTAAGTTTGAAGATCTTGCTACTGCGGGGATGAAATATGTAAAGTTGGAGGAGAAGTATAAGAAGACCCTTGAGCACAATAGAATTTTCAACTCTATTGTCCGTGATCTTGACATTTGCTTCAAGTCTATTAGATCTGGCCGAGAAAATCTCTCTTCCAAGGTGACTCAACTCAAAGAAGAACTTAAGCTCCATGTGGCTTCCCTCATTGTTGAGAAAACTTACGCCATGTACATCATGAGTAGAAAAACCTTGGAGGATGCTAAAGCTCTAAGGCCCGCGAGCTTGAGTTGGCTGCTAATAACAAAC